CAATAAAATGGAAATTAATTATTTAAAAATGGAAATTAATTATTTAAAAATCATACATTGTATTTTTCTGGATTTTTGTTTTAGATTCCATCACTCACAGTTGAAGAGTACCTATGATAAAAATTACAGTCTTCTACAAGCTTTGCAAGTGGGAAAACCTGAAAAATCAACAGAGTATCAAATACTTGTTCTCCCCACTGTATCTTGAGAGCAACATGTGGAAGACTGGAGTCTGTTCACTCAGGACTGAGGCTGTAGGCTGACCAGTGCTTATCCTGCAGACTTTGAAACCTGACCTGAGGGGTCTCACAGACTTCAGACAGACCCCCTCTGCTTTGCTCTGCTCTGACTGAATTAAACTGTAGCTGTGGGGTTCATTTGATTTGTTGAAAGCAGAGTCTGTTTAATCCTGTCTTATTAGATTAAACGAAGAAGAAGATTTAACGATACAGAAGAAAACAGAATTATTTTCTAATTTTTTTAAGATGATGGAATTCCATCTGGCCACATTCAAAATGACAGACATGAGTCGTGTTGACGGAGAACTTTAAGCCTTGTCTGCACCACAAACAGGTGCGCAGTGGAAAAAACCCGACACATACCTGGTGTTTCTCATAGATGATCGGGCAGCTGAACGCTCCAATCAAACCTAAAGAAGAAAAGAAGCTTCAATTCATCTGCTGTTTCAGGACATTTTAACCAAGTGAGGCAAAGGATAAATTAATCTGTTCATCAAAACACATCATCATTTAGTGCTGCAGTACATTCTGGAAAAAGGTTCCTCACCCAGGATAAGAATAGTGAGGCCATTGAAAAAGGCACCGACGTAGGTCAGAATCCACATCAGTAGGGCAAACTGCAGACATGGCAGGAATAAAACATGACATCATCAAACTCAACAGTTAAAGAAAAATTAAGAGCTCAACTTTTAAAATAAAACAAGTGAAAATGTTCTTATTAATGCAAAATAGTTTGTGTTGGAACTGTGGGTGTTGACACAGCTGTTATTTTTAAATGTATTTTAATCACTTTTAAAACTGACGCATCAATATGGATCTGAGTCTACGGAAAACCAAACTTTGTTTTAAACATGAAGAATTAATTCAAAGCTGCTGATTGGCAACTGAAAATAAAATCCTGGTATAAAAAAAACTTTTTTTTACTGTGTATTCCAACATCAATAATCACATGATAGAGCAGTGTTTTTCAAAGTGGGGGCTGCCAGGGGGGCCTCAGAAAGCTGGAGGGGAAATAAGAAATAAACTTACAAAATTAAAAAACTGCACCCAAAATGTTTTGAATCATTATCTTAAAATTGAATCTGTTTTTCAAACATTATTTTAAAATACTATATTGAAATGTTATTTAAGAGAACTTAAGGGAGGTTTGTTTTCTGTTCGGTTCTTATCTCAAACCATTTGAAAAGTAGCTTTTTCAGTGGATCCGCTGTTATTTGTCCCAGTTAATGTTCCACATTTATCTGCAGATGGACTCCTTCATGCAAAAGACTTTTTTATATCTCCATTTATGAGTTTTTGTCCGTTTGACAATCTTCATAAATGTCTATTTCTGGTTATATAATAGCAGCTGCATTCTGGCGCGATAAGCTCTATGTTTTTATTCAATTACCTTATGATCTGATTAGTTGACTAATCGAAAAAATAATCGGTGATTAATCGATTATAAAAATAATTGTTTGTGGCAGCCCTAGTACAGAGACATTCTTGATAAAAATCTGCTTCCATCTACCAGGATGATGAAGATGAAGATGAAACGTGGCTGGACATTTCAGCAAGACATTGGGCCTCATGCAAGAACCGTTCGTACGCACAGATTTGTTCTAAAGTTGTGCGTACG